ACCAACCGACCCCCGCCTCACGCACGACCAACCGCGGCGCGATCCTCCGCGCGGCCCCGGCTTCTCGCCTACGACTCACACACGCGCGAATCTCTGCGAAGAGCCGCCAGCTACCGCTCGCCGACTCGCAGTCCGTCACCGTCGCTCGTCGAACGAGGACGCGGTCGATATCGCTCGCGGCCGAAAACAAGTTCGAGGAAAGCCGGTTCCCAGGATCGCGGTTGTTTCTCTCCGTTGTCCACGGCCACGGACGCCGACCGGGGAATCATTATATTTTTAGGATCATCCTGTGGACTCCTCCTCCTCCACCCCGCGATCCGACGGGACTCGTGTTTCGCGGCGCGCGTGTGTCACGGTACCTACATGCTACCAGAAGGATGCTCTTCGCCTCTTTCACGTGTCCCCGTGTTCACGAGACGCGGTACGCTGAACGGCAAGGTACATCATGGGAAACGAGACGCTGTCGGAAGCTCGCCGTTCTTACCGATGGGCCGGCGGGAAGTGAAGAGGTTAGCTCGAGAGTCTTGTCGAAGTAGTCCTATGTAAATCGCGTTCCCGAAGCGTTGCCTCGGGGATCGCGCCGCGTTCGGCGAAGCCTGCCTCTCGAAGGGAGCCGAGGAACCCGAGCGCGTGTTGCGAAACGGCGGACAATGAATTCGTGATTATGAGTGAGACGAGTGACACGCCACGTGATCAGGAGTTCGGTGCACGGAAGTACTTTACGCGGAGAGCCAGTGAAAGCGTGGAAACTTTATAGTTGGAAGTTCATTGATTGAGAATCGCGTGCATAGACCGCGTGGAAAGCGCGCGCTTTCATCTCGAAGGTTGTTACAGAGTGGGGCGGAACGTGTTCGCTGCGTGGAGAATAAGACGGGACGGGGGAGTTCCAGCTGATAGGGGCAACGTGCATGTTAAACGGGGCCCGTTGCTTTCGCTTTTGTTCCGTCGCGTTGCGCTTGCACGACGAGAATAGAGGGAAACGGGAACCGGGCGACGATAATAGTGAGTAGCTCGCGGGTGCCGAGTGAAATAAGAAATTTGGAATCACACCAACTTCGTGCGACGTAGCAGCTGTCTCGACCGCGAAATGCCGAGTACCTCGGCTACGTCAGGCCGGTTACTCTGGGCATTGAAATCCACTTTGCCACCGCCACCGTCCTTATCGCCGCCGCCGTTGTTGCTACTCCCGTTGCCTCCGCCGTCGCCGTCGCTGTCGCCGCCACCGTCGTCGTCAGCGTCGTCGTCGTCGCCGTCGCCGTCGCCGTCGCCGCCGTCGTCGTCGTCGTCAGCGTCGTCGTCGTCGTCGCCGCCGTCGACGTCGACGTCGCCGACGACATTGTTAACGTTGTTATCGTTGTCGTTCATACGATTACTGTGCTCATCGTCACCATTTCCATTCCTATCGCTACAGCCAAGGGCCTACGCGGCCTGCTAAGATGACCGCTCGTCTTCAATCGTTGAGGCATCAGGAGAAGAAATCGGCCGGTAACAATCACAGACATCATCATCACCATCATCAATCTCAACAGAACCTGCACCAGGGACCCAGTCCGGCAGCCAGTCCCAGTCCTAGTCTTAGCCCGAGCCCTAAGCATCCGGACGGTCGTCGAGTGAGTAGACTTACCTACGAATCCTTTCGTCTAGTAGTCTTTTTGCTTGTCGATTGTTCCCATTGAGCCCGTTCGTCTCTCCTGTACCGCGTTCACCGATGACGAACCAAGAGAACAATGGATCGTCGGTGTTAGAGCTGTTCGGCTAGTATTCGACTCAGTATCGTTACCACGTTCCAGGCTAACAAACCACTAATGGAAAAACGACGACGGGCGAGGATCAATCAGTCGTTGGCGGCGCTAAAGGCGCTTATCCTCGACAGTGCCCGGCTGGAGAACACGAAGCACAGTAAGCTGGAGAAGGCTGACATTTTGGAGTTGACGGTTCGTCATCTGCAGAGGCAACGATCTCTCGCTCAGCCGGGCTTATCGAGGTACAAGGCCGGTTATCAAGATTGCTCGAGGGAGGTACGTGTTCCGTCCGTGTGAAACGGATCTGAGAATAGACACGGTTTCGCCGGTGCTTCCGATAATTACCCGTGGTATACTCGCGAACGGGCTAACGACGAAATCGAAATCCGTGCCGGCGAGCGGTCGCGTCTGATTTTCCTTTGATGCTGCAGGTAAGTCGATACCTCGATGCCCCGGACATAATCACCGGGAACACGACGCCGATGGACCCAGCGGTGAAGCAGAGGCTACTGCGTCACTTGGACAGTTGCGTGTCGGAATTGGACTTGGATCTGGGTTCGAGGCCGGATAGCGGATTAGGCAGCAGTCCCGGAAGCGTGACGGATCGAGTGACGGGCGCGGGAAGTCCCGGTCCGTTGGAGCATCACGTGCCATCGACCGCGCACTGTAGTACAGCTCTGAATCCGGCCGGCTTGATCAAAGCCGAGATTCCGGACGTCGAGCCAGCCAGGCCGGACAGCAGCACTACTGCCGGCGACGAAAACAACAATAACAGCAGCAATAGCAACAGCAGCAGCAGCGGTAGCAGCGGCAACGCTCGGCCGACTTCTGCCTTCGGCCAACTGCACAACCCC